ACCTTAGAGCAATAATTAAAGTAACCTCTTTGTAGTTTCAGGCTGTTCCTTAGACACTGACTGACTTTAAAAAAGCAGGCTCCAAACTTCTGCCTCTCTGCGAATAACTCCCTGTACTCTGTACCCCAAATATAAACTCTGATCTTCACATCCGTCCTGCCAAAAGCCTACAGAGAAGCCAGACTACAAAGCAAACCAACCCATATCCAGTGAGAGAACTCACAGGGAAGGATTCTTGAGCGCCAGGTTCTAGTCTCAAAAATGTTTCTGCATTTAGCAGTCAAAACCATCCTTGGGACCAGGGCCAGCCAAATCACCATTGGTGAAGTTACTAATCAGTCCCGTTTTTCTCATTTTCCTTCTGCACATTAACACGATTTCAATACCACACCTTAGATCACCATTCTCAGTGGCTGTGATCTGAACCTACTTTAGGGCTCAGAAGGATACTGCTGTAGGCTCCTGTTCTCAGGTATATCTATAACCTATTAATCTAAGAGTCCGGCATAACCTAAAACTCAGCCTAGGACCCCCTCCCCAAACTAACCGATCCTGTCCCATTCATACACAGCAGGAACGTGGATTTACTGTATGCATTCAAAGCACCCAACACCTTTGTGGGACAGGTTTTCAACAGTCTTGCAGTCTGTCTTACTCTGGCTATATTTGACCAGCAGATGGAAGCAAAAGAACAGGTTAAGAAAGTCAGAAAACTGCTGCTTCTGGGCTTCCTGGATCCGTTGGATAAAAGCATGGCGAGGCAGTACAGCCTTAACTTGTGGGAAAAGAAGCTGAAGGGGGAAGGAACATGGACTTGTCCCCTTTCGCTGTATGTGCTCCTACTATAACCATGCAAATACAAGACCTGGGGGCAGCAAGAGGCCCTGCGCTGAGAGGCGAACAGGACAAAAGCACTTCCATCCTGCAAAGGGAAGGGAAACCAGAAATGGAAGTTGCATGTGCCCACCCTTAAGAGGCAGGACCGACATCATCCCGGTGACTCCGAGACCTCCACGCCCCACGTCCAACTCCAGGCCGACCTCACGCGGGCCGCCATGATACAACCAACTCCCCTGCAGCGCATGCGCGAAAGTGCTACGCCACTCCTCCCTCCCTCCACCGCCCCCCCCCCCCCCCCGCCGTTTCTATAGCAACAGTAACGCGCGGCCCACCGGTGCTTACCGCTTCCCTCGCCTCGTAGGTGGTTCTCAGCGTCTCGCAGGAGAGCTCCATCGGGGTAGGCAACGGGCCAGAGCCCGGCCACGGCAGCAGCAGCCAACGGGGAAAGTCACGGCGAGCTCCGGATAGCGGCCGGTCCCGCACCCGGCGGAGGGCAGCGGGCGCCGTGACGCAGAGGCCCGCCCTACAGCCCTCAGCCAGCCAATCGAGAGGCGGAGGGGTGAAAGTTGCCGAGGAACTGCCCAATCATGAGTGGCAGAGGGTCGCCGTTTAACAGCTGGGGCAAGCAGGGTAGAGGGGAACCGGGGGCTATGTCCGGTGCTGCGCCTCTCACTGCAAGAGAGACATTGAGGTGCTGGAGCGGGGCCAGAGAAGGGCAATGGAGCTGGAGCAGGGCCTGGAGCACAAGTGTGATGGGGAACGGCTGAGGGACCTGGGGGGTTCAGCCTGGAGAAGAGAAGGCTCAGGAGGGACCTGATGGCTGCCTACAACTGCCTGACAGGAGGATGGAGCCAGGAGGGGCTGGGCTCTGCTCCCAAGGAACAAGGGATGGGACAAGAGGAAACGGCCTCAAGCTGCACAAGTGAAAAAATTCTCCCCTGAAAGGGTGATCAGACATTGGAAGAGGCTGCCCAGGACAGTGGTGGAATCAAACCATGTAGACAAGACATGTTCACAAACCATGTACGAGGCCCTTAGTAACACAGAATCATAGAATAGCTAGGGTTGGAAAGGACCTTAAGATCATCTAGTTCCAACCCCCGTGGTTCAGTAGTAGCCTTGGCAGTGCTGGGGAACAGTTGGACTTGATCTTAAAGGTCTTTTCCAACCTAAGCAATTACACGATTCCAAGATTCTGTGACGGCTCTAGAGAGCATGGCACTCAGCACCACCCCTTCACATTTTTGCCATCCACTTCCTGTAGTGTTACATTAAAAAGTAAATGGCTCTGGGTTAGGAAAGATGATGGAGAAGCCTAAGGCTGGCCTCCAGCTGACCTTGTAAAGTTCCTTCCTTAAAACAGTGCACATATACACAAATAAAATCTACTCATCTCAGCTGATCCCCTCCAGTTTTCTCACTGCTTGCAAATCATATCCAGTTGTCCATTAGCAGCACAGGAGGTTGCTGAGGTGTAATGCTGATGAGTGTAATTGTTGCAATGCTGAGAGCAGTTATAGGATGGGTTGTTAGGCTTTTTTGGTTTGTTTGGTTTTGTTTTGTGTTTTTTTTTTTTTAACTGTTGCATGTTTTGTGGGAAGTAGGGAGAGTTTATTTAGAAGATCAGATGTTCTGGGTGGGTTTTCTTTCCCCAACAAGCCTAACTCAATTTAGGGAGCAGAGTGATTAGCACCTATAGGCTCCCTTGTTACCCTAACTAGGGCCTAATGGGATAAAATTAAGCACAGGAATAGCTGCAGTAACAGCCTCTCACATAAAAGCATGACTGCTTTGAAAACAAGTTGTCTGTTCCTACAATGGCTAGTTCTGGGTTGGATGTTGATGCTTGTCCTGTAAACCAGGAAAATGAGGGAGTGGGAAATGCTGCAGGAGCTGCAACAGAGGATTCTGAGATGGAGTGTAGAGAAAGGAAGAATTACAGCAAGCAGGGGAGTAAGAAGAAGCAGCAGAAGTATGGACCATTGAAGTGCCAATACTGGAGGTAAGTCTTTTGAAAGTTTGGTAGGAAGAGATATTTTTGGAGAGGTTGAAAGTTTGGTAAGCTGCTAAAATGGTGTGGTTAACTGAGGAGTGTAAGTCTGGAGTTGACGTGTGTGAAGACTCTTGGAAAAAACAGTGAGATTTTGAAGAACTAGAACAAAAGGAGAGACTGACTGTAAGTACTGAAAAGAATAAAGGAGGGAGACTTGGACGAAATCTTGGTGTGGAGATAAGTTAATGGAGTGGGAGAGGCTAGGCCTGAGCTTTTGTGGATAGGACCCAGGAAAAAGCTTGGGGAGGAATGTAAGTATTGAGTACTTGTTTTTTTTTGTGGGCATGTCCCCAGTGTTGAGTAGAAGGCAGGCTGCAAGGGAAAACTATGGGAGAACAAAATATGATGAAGAGAGGACTGTCAAGCATAGGAATTAGGATAATATGTAAATTCATCTTGCACATGTGAGGTGTTAAAATACAAAGTATGGTCTGTTTTATGCTAGTGGATGTTTGGGATGAGATGAATGGGAAAGTTGAAAGACGTTATGAAGTGAGTGTACGTAAGGAAGAAACGCCAAGCTCTGGCATGAGCCTGAACACTTGATGGCTGTCTCAATGTATTTGAAGAAAGAAACATGTGAAGGTGTGTTCAGAGAAGGCTTTTGTCCAGCCTGTGCTGGTATATGCTTTAATGATCAAAGAGATCCTCACCTGCAGCTTGCCCCTTTGGTCTGGTACTGAATTGCAGTCAAAAAGACGCATCTGATGGACTTAAGAGCTCAACTTCTGCAGTGGTGTTGCAGACAGCATGCTTTGTTAGGCTGCAGATGCCTCACAAAGGGGGTCTAAAATGAGCAAATTCCCTATGTTTAAATTTTCAAAGAAATGGCTGCTGCAAGACCAAGCATAGAATCAGTTTATGCAAAGAAGGACTAGCTCTCTGTGGTTATGGCTAGCAGAAATAAGGGTTTATCTTGGACTAGCTGGTAGTAAATGAGAAGGAAGGCCATTGCAAAATTACTACTAATTATGTTAATTATCTAGTTCTTACATTTCCAGATCTTGTAGTGATGTTGAATGACCATAGCCACTGTGTTAGGTGGGTGCTAGTACCCTCTAGACAAGCTCAGTTAGTTGTTCCTAGCATTGCTTGCCCAAATCCCTCTCTAGCACAGCACTCTGCCAATGTGTCCTCTCCCCTGGCCCATGAAGAAACTTGTGTAGCATCCTCACATTTGCTCTGACTTGTCCTATGGCTGTAGGTGTCACTCCAAATCCATCGACTGTGCAAAAATTGCTGCCTTTTGGTTAATATGGGCAAATACATTTTGCATTTCAGATCTTCTCCCTCTCTTCCCCCCAAAGGTCTCTTCAGCTTTGTGTTTGGGCTGGTTTGGCTGTTTGCCTGTTTGTTGGCTCAGTTTTTACTTTTTCATTTCTATTTTATTGCAATAAACCGGTTGTTTGGTTTAATGGCACTGTTGCCAATGAAACTGAATATTGTGACTAGGTAATTATTGTGACTAGATAATGATCTCTCGCTGCTTTTGAAAATAATATTCTCAGCTGCACCTCAATGTTTATTTTTCTGTAAATGTCTCAACATTTCCCTTACAGCAGGAAACCCATTATCCAAGTTCTGAAGCTTACAGCCAGTGACATTTTCGCTTCATTTTTTATTAATAAAACGTGTCACATCACCGTTATAATGCAAATTATGAGAACGTTCTTGATGAGATGGATAAAGCTAAGAAAGCTATAAAACCGCAGCAAGTTTGACCTTTCCATTTCACGCAATGCAGTAGCGAGGCTATATTATTTGTTTTTCCTTCTTTTTAAATGAATATAATAATAATGTTTAACGGCTGAGTACGTCCTCCTCGCTGTTACCCATGACGGGAGGGAGCGCGGCGGCCCTGAAGGGGCGCAGGCCCGCTCGCCTTCACGCCCCTCCGGGGTCCGCTGCATACCTGAGCCGCCGCTTCACCTCAGCCCCGCGGGGTCCGAGCGGCCCGGCTCGGTACGCGGTGTGTGTGTACGTACAGAAAACGGCGGGTTTTACCTCACGATCCCTCTCCCCCGACCCCCTCCAGGGCCGCCCCGCCGCTCGGAGGCACGGAGCCCCCTCCGTGTCCCACCCCTTCCCCGCTTCTCGCCGGAGCCGCCCTCCGCCGTCACGTGCCGGGGGCGCGCACCGGGTGCACGATGGTGGCGGCGGGGCCCGGCGACGGCGGCGGCAGCAGCAGCAGCAGCGGGTAGAAAATGGCGGATTTCGAGGAGCTGCGGGTGAGGAGGGGGAGAGGCGGCGGTGGCGGCGGCGCGGGTTGAGGTCCTACCACCCCCGGTCCCTCGGCCTTTCCTCATCCCTGGGTGCGTGCCTGAGGAGGAGCGGTGAGCCCGGCCGGGAAACACCGGGGCCCTTCCCCGGGGAGGAACCGCTGTCTGAGGAAACCCTCGGACTGCGCCCCCCCCTCGGCACCCCTCTGGGGGACCCCGGCCAGCCCGCTCTCCGTTCCCGCCGTGTGGTGTCGGTGCCGTTCTGCCCCCCCCCCCCAATCCCGCTCCCGACATCTTAAAAGCTGTTCCATGCGGCCCAACCGCCCGGGAAGCCGGGCCCTGATCCGGTACTGGGGCTCGCATGGCGACGGGCCGGGCTCTCGCGGCCTCAGGAGGGCGCAGCGGGGCGAACCGAAGGGAGAATGCTGAATAATTACCGGATCCTTGAACATGCTAATGATTACTGAGTTTTTTAAAATTCATTAACCGCTTTCTAACCGGGAGAGCTGCGCCTGTGAAGCGTAAAATCTTGTATTCCTTTTCCAGACCTGTTTTATCTGCAGTTCAATGGCTTTATATTTCAGTCGTGGACTTTTATGTAGTAGCTTTTTCTCTGTGTGTGTGTGGTGGCCTTTCGTATTTTAAGATGTGTGCACAAAGAGCTGACTGCATCGTTTCTGCCTTTCCTCGTGTTTCGTGAGCAATCTGTGATTATCTTTGTTCAGAAGGAGCAGGTTGTCCTTCTGCAGCACCCACACCTGCAGAAGTGCTGCCGAGGGGATGCTGCATGCACACTGAACACACCCCCCTGCCCCGAGCTGGACTTCCCTACAGAAGGAATAAAAGTCAGCTAAATAGGAACGGCTGTGAGCGAGGCTTCAGTGCAAAGGGAGGTCTCATGGCTGAGTTGACTGTAGTCTGGCCAACAGTGGGAAATACACAATTGCCAGAGAATCGCTTACACTTAAGCCTTGTTCCAGCACTTGCACTGCTTGGGTTGAAGTGGCTGTAATGTAGCTTGGGAGCTTGGTTATAAAAATCTGATGGAAAGAATTGAGTTTCTTTATTTGATTAGTTCTCTAACTCAGTTTTAAGGAGGGTTGGCTTATTTTATCTTAAACTTTTTTTAAAAAACTTTTTTATGTTTGTACATCTTCTTGTTTAGTGTTCTCACTCATTTTCAGCTACGTTCCAAGGTCTCTCAAAGGGTTTTAGCTATGCAGGTGGCTAAAATCCTGGTGTAAGCTTTGTAGCAGGGATAACTCTTTTTGATGTGTCTCCTCTTCTCCAGGCTTGAGCTAGAGCAGTGATCCACATTTTCCAGGTGCTGTGATCACTTATCTAGATAGTACTGGTAGTACTATCTAGAGTACTGAGTACTGATAGTACTGGTGGACTCTGGTTGAGAATTGGGTACCTAAAATACCTTTGAAATTATATATACACCTGAGTTGCTTGCTAGAAGTAACAGAGAAAGTATGGAGGGAAAAGAGGATTTCAGGCCAACTACAGGAGTGCCCTTTCATCATTCAAAAAAAACCCCAGGTATTAGTAGTTAAAGATACTAGTCTGGATAAGTGTCTCTTGGTGTTCCTATTCATCTTACTTGTGAACTAGGGTGCCTGTGAAATGAATGTTAGCCTGGAGCCCCTCTAAGCTTCAACATCTAGCTGATAATAATTCATGGTCCATTTTGGGAAAGTTCTAGATGTTTTTGGAAGAGAATATAGTAGACTGCCTCACGTCTTCAAGGTCTTTACTGCCATTATTTTTTCTTTTTAAGGAAGAATGTGTCTGTTTGAATACCAGGCACTTGGTCTGCAGATTTAAGGGCTCGGGTGGTTTTTTTTTTGTTGTGTTTTTTGGTTTGGGTTTTTTTTTTTCCATAGTGCCAATTATTTCTGCTTTTGGCCAAAGAAGAGACACTCTTCCCTCCCCCACCAATAGATTTCATTAATTGACCTTTTGAAATGATTTAAACTGCTGCTTTATAGGTTAAGGTACGGGACGTTTTTATGGCAGTATTGTTTGCTGCTCTATTGTTGATTGTAACTTCCTTTCGTATGCGAGTTTTACCTGCCTTGTAAAAAGCCACTGGGGCAATTCAAACAGTTGAATTTATTTTAGTATATTGTTAAGGACTGAAGGCAGGAGGTGAGAGTTGTCTCTTAAATCCTGTTTATGAGGGAAACTTGTAGGGGCAGCATTTTTCTGCTCTCAGGACAAGGGATTGTTTTAGTACTTGTTAGAATATTGCTATAGTCTGGGTCTTCAGAGTAAAAGTTCTGGGGAACTGTGACTAAAAGTTTATTACTGAGAGACTGCAGTGAAAGAAACTAGACTCAAAGGAACCTGCTGTTACATTGTGCCTTTTGACAATCTTAAGTTTTCTTAAAGGATTCGGAAGCAGCTGTAACCACAGTCACCGCTTCTCACGCTATTGCTGAAAATGTCTATTATAAGGTTTACCCCTCCAGACCTTCAGATTAACTGCTGATTAATTAGTAATGCTTATTGAATTCTGTAGCTTACTGGTTTCTGGAATATTAGTGAGTAGCTGAGAAGCGTTGGTGAGCACAACTGTAGCTTTCTTGTATTTTTAAGGTACAGTTACCAGACCTTCTGTTCACAGCTGTGTTCTTAAACGTGGCTCTTAACTTTATCCATAATTTGCACTCATGGGCAGCCCAGTGGATGTCAAAGGGGTTACATGGGCATAGGCAGACATGGAACAGAAGTCAGTAGTATGGTGTGGAGGCCAGATTTGGCATGTGAACACAAATTTTGAACAGAATTGGCCCAGGAGAGGGGAACTACAGCTCCTTGTGAGAGCCATCTGTGAGACAACAATTCCAGCTCCAAGCAAATTCTGATCAAGATTTGGCTTGAAGCTACAGTTTGCATCACAGCAAAATACTGCTGTTAAGAAGATAGGTTGTATTTATTGCTCGGAGAGAAAGACAGTTTCTTGGGTCCTGTAAGTTTCTGCTGACATCCTGACTCTAATTTGGAAACAGATAATATGTTATCCTTGAAACATTGCAGATCCCTAGTTTAGAAGATAAGAACTTCAGTCTAATAGTTTGTGTTTAGTTGGGTTTTGAAGTAATATGTTAGTTTCATCTTTATGGACAAAAAGAATCTCTTTATACGCAAACAAATACGCTTGTGTGTCCTGCTTTCAGCTGTAATAGTTAATTTTCCTAGTAGCTGATGCAGTGGTGTGGTTTGGCTTTAGCCTGAAAATAATGCTGATAATGCAAGGATGTTTTAATTGTTGCTCAGTAGCACTTACTCTGATAAAGGACTTTCCAGCGTTGAATGCTCTGCCAGTGAGGAGGGGCACCAGAAGCCAGGAGGAAGCAGAGGCACGACCCCTAACCCAAACTAGCCAAAGGGGTATTCCATACTACAGCATGTCACACCCAGTGTATTGGTCTCAAAGTGGCATTATGTCATATCTTGCTTGCAGTATGCATTCCCTGTTTTGGTGTTTATTGCTGTTGGGGCTTGGGCTAAGGTATTTTGTTGCACTTTAAAATAGTGGTTTGTTCCCAGCATTGCCACCACCTCTATACTTTATGAGCATCTAATGGGAACTATTAATAATCATACCTCTTCCTTTTTCTCATCAAGGAGATATTCCCCCCCATCTCCCCCACTAGGATATTTAGAGCAGTGTTTAGAAGTTTGAAAACTTTTGAATGTTCTTGGGATGCTGAAACCAGCCTGGCCCTATTGCTAGGTGTTGATATGTTGTTGAATATGGTTCATATCTTGCTTAGGGCTAAAAGCTACATGTGGCAGCTCCAACCTGCCTGAAAAGCGCTGTGGCTCAAAGGAGAAAAAGGACCAGAACTCTATTGACAAGGAATTTGGCTGCTTCAACCCCTGCAACACACTATAGCTACTTAGCTCCCAGTACCAAAGGTATATTCCGTACCATGGCTTGTCGTGCCCAGTATGTGAACTGGGAGCAGTTACCCAGAAGGGCAGATTGCTGCTCTGATCGATCTGGGTATCAGCCTGTGCTGAGCAGTTGCATTGTGTATCACTTGTGTTCATAGCTTTCATTTCTTTTCCTACTGCTCCCTCTTGTCATTACTGTTGTTTTTTTTTTTCTAACTGTATTTTACTTTGTTATTAAACTGTTCTAATCTCAGCCTGTTGACTTCACATTCTTTTGATTCTCTTCCCCTGTGTGGGAAGGGAAAGGGGGAGAGTAAGCGAGAGGCTATGTGGTGCTGGGTTTAAACAACAACAGTGCCAAATCTAATTTCTGTGACCCTGGCAATCAGTTTCAGGGCCACTGTGGGAAGAAAACATCAGTGAGAAGAGATGGATGTGTGCTCATATTTCCTGTGCAAAAGGGGAGATTATACAGAATTTTCTGGAAATCAGGGTTTATATATGGTGAAAAGAAGTCCTACTTTTAATTTTTGCTCTTGCACAGCCAGTACTGAAGTCATGAGATTCAAATGTGAAGAGCTATATGGTTTGAATGCCATATTAAAATACAGAAATTGAAATTTCCTTCTTGTGTATTGGATCTTTTCATACAAGACTTGGTAGCTTTCTGCTCCTCTTGCTTTGTTTTTCCAGTCTGAAAAGACAGTATTTGCCCGTTTACCAGGTGAAGCAGTGCTTAGTGCTAAATTGGTAAACAATAAATCAGTTTTCTTGTGTCCTTTTCAGATTTCATTGCCAGACCCTCTATTGTATTGTTTTGTTTTAGCTGTGTTAATAACATTGTATTGCATATGCATTTCATTTGATGTAAAAATCAAATATCTTTTGTTGGTTTGAGGCGAACTTAAAAATGGATAGAATAGATACCTAGTTTCTGTTGGTGATGTAGTGATATAGTTGCAGTTAATGTTGCATGTATTAAATAAGATATCCTGTGATAAAATACGGTTAATAACCTATGAGAAGATATTGTTATTTTGTATCTATACATAGTTCTCCTGTTCCTCCTAGAATGCACAGTCACTTTTTCAGACCAGTGA